TAAAAGTCGCAAGAGCAAGGACTTTTAATCGGCAAGCCTACTTTGGGGTTTCGCTTGTGCCATAAACTTTAGGGTTTTTCTTACTGTTCAGTGCCTCGATATCATCCAACTCGTTGTAAGTTCGAGGAAACCCATCATCCGACCAACAAAACATTAATTCATTGGTAATTTTTGATTTCAAACTCACAATTGTAACCACTAACGTCATTTTCGCATGGTTATATAAAATCAATAACAACTTTCATAGTCGTGTAACATGGGAACAATTTCTGCAAGAAGAAATTAGCTGAGAAGATCAACAACATAATTATGAGGAAGAGGAGCTCTAAAACACAACCCGATGATGTCGGTAGCAACGATGATAACTAATAACAAAAAAGTTCGAAGATAAACTAAAAAGTGCGCGTCCTTGAAAGGAATGTCCAACTTTGATTAGAGGAATCACGCAAAGGAAATGGTGTTTCAAGCACGGTATGATAGAAAAAAGCAATAAATATCGAAAGAATTGCTGATGTGTTTAGTTGGTAGTGAGGCCATTTGAATAGGAAAGGCGGAATTAAATTAATAAATCCATTGCCGTCTCGTAAGTTCAGATACATACGGTGTTACAATCCATCTGGTGCAAAAATAGAACAGCAAACCAGCAAAGATAGAAATTGGTAAAGCAGGTAACGCTCGACGAAAGACGGCTAGGAGGACTAGAGTGAAGCAGAGCCCAACCAAGATTGCTACGTAACATGCAACAGTTGTGTTCCAGTCAAAATACGAACTCGCTTTGCCGACCAGAACAGAATAGAAGATGAAATCACCAAGTCCAAGTTTCACGCCTTCTAAATAAGAAAAAAATGAGTATGGTTATAAAAAAAGTGGGCGCATAGTGAACGTATGCCCATCCAGTAACTTTGAAGGCCAAGATATAAACGTATTGGCTCCCAAAGCCTACTATTATATAATAAGAAACAAATACGATGAAAATTTGAGAAGCAGGAAAAAGTTCTGCCATTAAAAATAATTTCCCAAACTAAGCACAATTTCAGTGATATGATATCTTATCACTTACTCTCATCCTGATCCCTCCTGACTAAGTTCGGTTGTATTCTGGCATTCTGTGCTGATTGCGGTATTTCATTTAAGGATCGAGCTGCTTCTTGGGAACTGAACCATATATTGGTTCCTTTTGCAGAAAGAATTTGTCGAATGCTGCTCACATATCACCCGAAGCCTTCTCAAGCTTTTGACTTCGTTGTGGAGCAAAACGTTTCACACGAACTGTCGGTCCGCCACTAGTTACCAAGAGCCCACTTGTAGATGGAGTCGATTCCTCCGAGGAGTTTGCTGTGAAATAAATTTGGAGATATGATTATTTAGGCCAGCGGTGAAAGAAAAAATGAATCAGACGGCTAGATAATCGTGAACTGAAGAAGCAGCTAAAAAAGCGTACCTGGAGGCTGGACCTGAGCCTGATTTTCCTCTCCTTCAAGAGCGCCAGCAAACACAAATGAATACATCATACCAGCTGAAAAGACGGGGGGAGTGAGCATCTCATACAATATAATTAAATAAAAATTACAACCAAGTATAATACAAACAAAGCTGAGCAAACAAAAACCTAAAGATGAAGGTTGCTCGAATGTACACTGAAAATTTCTGTTTTAAAAAAACAACGCCATGATTCGCCAACACCATCCAACGCATAACAATATGAGTTGCGCGGATATGATGTTACTCACAGGCTGCTATGACCCAACCATGCTAGCTATTATCGTTTTTGTCGCTTTTTCTCCTTTTCCACTCGTTTCGCTTATTAACACCTTAGTAAAAGATCTCAGCAGCACGATTAGATGCTCAACTGCTATTTTTTAGAACCCAATTCAGATTGCGACTTATACGGTATATCGGCTTATACGATTTGAATTAGGATACTCCCCAACCACATCACAGACAACAAACAGGGTAGCAATTTCAAATAAGTAAAAGTGTACTGAAATGCTCACATGAATAGATAAGTGCCGGGAAGATTGGCTCATTACGTTCTTGAGCAGTTTCTACAAGAA